GCTGGTAGCCTTCGTTCAGTTACGTATTGCTAGCAGGACACCCAATTCGCCCGCAGGATTTTCCGTCCGACCCGGTTCCAGGCCGGGCATTCAGTCCGTTCACCAAGGTATCCCGTTCCTCGCTCCCAGCTAGGCAGGTCTTAGTACAGGCGTTCGACGATCCTGGGGGCGCCGTCTTAAACCCTTTGGTCAGCTATCGGGTCCCAGCGCCTGCCGCTATCCGGTACTTCGCGGGCTTTCGCCCACCACCATCGGTGACAGCGACCCAGTCGTTCGTAGGCCCTCGGACGATTGTTCCCGCGTGGATAGGGAGACTGTCCCATGCCTCTGGCAGTGCGCGTGCCTGCATACGACCTCTAGCCACACGCCCGACCGCTGGTTTAAAATTAGGGGTCTGGGTGTGCCCGCGGGTCGCCCTACATCTTTACGTTCTAGGACAGCCTCCCGGGAGAAGTTTTGAACGCAAGAACATGGCCTCCGTGGAGGTCATGGTATCGCAATCGCACGTGATCCACACCTTCCGCGCTGCGGCTGCGAGCTTGTTTCTTTCCTGGCTATGATGGGCAATCGTATAGCACATGCTCCCGCAGTTTCCTCCGGAGAACCGCATCGGCAACGTGCCTCGCCTCGAAGGTTGAAACGACAAGGCGACGTAATTGAAATTCCGTGTCGGTCACGAACTGCGAGATGTAGTGGTCCGGAACGAACCTGACCTCGAGCCTGCGCCGCACGTCCGGGAACAAATCGCCATCCGCCTACCTTTATGCGCTGGCGACCATCTCTCTACCAGAGGCGTGATTCGTTGGTCGTGTACTGTTCGCCTTTGTAGCTTCTGACGCCGACTTGTTTCCTCCTCACGGCGTTCTTATCCGTTCGATCTTAGCCAGCCGAACAGTTCTAAGTCGAGGGTACTCCGGCTGGACCTGGAGCGCCATCGTCGACGTGGTCTTGCCCGCGCCCGTCATTGCCAGTAACGGGCGTCTTTGGGCGGTGTTAGCCGTGTTCGATGCCGGTACTGTGCCATGCAGCGCTCGGCCCATACCGGGCCGCATAACCCATACGCGGCAGGAACACCGATTTGTACAGGATCCTGTCGTCCTTTCTTTAAGGCCTCAACTAGCCTTAGCCACAGATAGTCACGACTGAATATAGCGCTACGAGACGCAGCCTTTTCCCGCAGATGGGAGCTAAACTTCCTTTGGGTCAACGTGACCCCGGGTATTTCGCACTCCGGGGTCGTACAACCTTAGTCCCACCGTAATAGCAAGTCAAGGGCTTGCCGTTGTATGATCACAAGGTCTGCGACTTGGCCGCCGAAGGTGAGTTTCATCAGAAGCCCATCTCGACGCGCTATTTCTAACAGCGCATTCGCGTGTTCCGTGAGCTCGGACGGTGTTTCCCGAGATGGTAGCGCAGCAGATCGTCGGTAAAACAGCTATCTCTGTCTCGGCTGGAAGATCGCTGGACGAGCGGGTTGACCGCATGCCTCCAGAGGTCAGGACCGAACTCCGAGCCCTGGGTGTAACCCTTTGTTAGGGTCTCGAGTGTCATGTCCCAATCATGTCGGGCCTTTCGGCCGTGTAGGTAGCCTCTTTGTCAGGGCGATCCCCAGGCCGCATTTAACCTTGACGATCTTTCGTTATTGCGCCACCGAGGCATGGTTAGACATTGATATATCCAGGAATACGCCTACGACATATTTCCCCGCCTTTCATCTGACACTGAAGGCATGTGTCCATGCATCTGAGTCGTGGTTCTTGGTGAAACCAATTGTCTGGCCGACATATGGATGTCCGCTGTACAGATTCTCGCCCGATAAGGTGTTCCAGCCGCTTAGCTGAACTGGGAGTAAACTAATGGGTCGATACGCGCTAGCATCGCATGGGTCCTTATTGGGCGATTTCCTAATGACGACCAGCGCCGCGTTGCTTACAGGCTCGGGGAATGTCCTCAGTGCCAGTGAGGTATTGAACCGCGTTGTTTGGAGGACGGGCCGCTTGCCGTAAATTCTGCCTGATCGTCCAGGCCGGGGCTTACATGTTTTCATCGCCAAATGTGCATCTCTTACCTCTCGACCGTGCACGGTTCAGCGGTCGAACGATCAGTTCAGCCCGGTAATGCCGACTCAACCTACCCACGCAAAACGCCGGTCTCTCTACGGGTTTCCGCTTGTCCGCAGTCTCCGTAGCGTCGCTATCCTCGGGACCAGTTGCTCGAAAGCCTCTTGCCGGTCTCCCATAAAGCGAACATAATGTTCCGTCCATTTTCTGATGGACGCTAGTAACATTTCTCCGAGGGCCGTGTTCTCCCGGCTTTTAGCTTTGACGATGGTCCCACGGGCTCCTCGTTCCCGGTACCGAACGAAGAGCGCCCAGGCCCGTCGACCGTGCTCTAAAGCAGGCGCGGTTATATCTCCGCTTGAGGTCTGTGTACTTCCTCCTTATGGCTCTCTTTCTGAACGCGGTTAGGTTAGGTTAGGTTAACCTAACCTTTTTTTTTTTTTTTTTTGTGGTTTAATTGAGAACCTAGAGCAGCGGTTCTTAACCTTTTGTAGAACACGGACCCCGATGAAAGATTTTTAGAGATCGCGGACCTCCTACCAATTTTTTTTCAAATACCTACCTTTTTTTTTACAAAACATATCAAGTTATCATAACCAAAATTATAATAACTATTTTATACTACAAATTATAGAAGTAGACATAACAAAATGTACACATTTATAATTATTACACTTGAACATCATTAAACACTTAAATTTAAAAAAAAATAATTGTAATATAAATTATTTTATTATTAATTATTATTATTATTATCTTATTCTTAATATTATTACCCCTTTCAGGACCACACAGTGATTTAACCAAAATCAAAAATTTTTTTTTTTGACAATTCTACATATTAGAGTGTTTTAATAAATAAAAATGAAAAAATTTTTTGTTAAGTGGATAATTGGGACCAAAAAATACATGATGTCAAAACAGATCATTGAACATTTAAATCTTTATTCATAATAAAATCAAAATAAACCATAAATAAAACTTAAATTTCAGACTTCCTGTATATCAAAACAATTTATAAAAAAACAACTTACAACAAAACAATTTATAAAAAACAACTTTAAAAAAACTTTGAATAATCTTTAACCTTATACATAAATAAAATCATAATAAAACATAAAATTTCAGACTTGTATATAACTTATTATAGACATATTGTATAATATAATAAAAATAATCATAAAACAACTTATTTTTAAATAAAACATAAATAAATTTCACACTCTTGTATATAACAACTTATTATAGACATATTGTATAATATAATAAAAATAATCATAAAAAAACAACTTATTTTGTAATAATAACATAGGTACCTAATTGCTTATGAGATCATATTTTCTTTTTATCACAATTTGGTGTGGAACAACCGAAAACAGTTTTTATTTTTATTTAGGCATAAGTATATATCACATTTTATGCATTTCATACGTGAATAATTTGAACAATGCTTACATCTTTGTCTCTCATCTGTGGGATTCGGCCAATGATCAACATTATCAAACCGAACGTCTTCACTTGGGCGGGCAGCAAAAAGTCTTCTTCTTTTAGTTGGTGGTGTAGGTGTTCTTAGTGATGGACGTCCTTTTTGTTTTTTCAATTTATCTTTACCTGCCCGCAAAAGCCCTTCAGCAATATCTGACTTAAATTGCAACATACTTTTATATTTAACAATTTGTTTACAGTGAAGCCTATACAATAACCATGCATTCACAGCACACATGTCCAACAGATGATGTACAATTCTCAAATAATAACGCTTTACTTTATTTTCTGTTCTATAGAGTTCTACTAACATGTCATGTAGATCTATTGCCCCCATGAAATAGTTATATTCTTTGATGCATGCTGGCCTTACAACAGGAACATATTTTTTACTTGATATACTCCACCTTTGTACAATATCAGTTGGTTCAGCACCCATGTAATTAGATAACATGTGTACAAATTTATTATCAAACCACTTGCATCCAAAAATATTGTTTGTGGTGTCAACTTTATATTCATATGTTCCACGTCCTTTTACCTTCATATTTCCATCACTTGTAAACTTGCAGTTTCCTGTTCTGTTTGCCCGGACTGTTCCAATGCACTGTATTCCAGCAAAGTTTGAACGACATTGGAGAGCATAAGAATCAAACCAATTATCAAATGCTACATTATGGTTTTCAAATTTAAGAACACAATCCAACAGTCTCATAACAATGTCACCACTTAAACCAAGACCCATATGTGATTCTTGAATTGTACCTTTTCCCACATATATCTCAAAATCATGAACAATACCACTTTTTGATGCAATAGCAAACATTTTAATGCCCCATTTATGAGGCTTATTTTTGTTGTACTGTTTTAGTTTTGATCGACCTTTGAATGGTATTATAATTTCATCAATCGCACTATATTCTTCGATTTTAATTTTTTTAAAGTTATTTCTTACAGCCTCAATAAATGGGCGAACTTTAAATAATTTATCATGGTTAATATTATTCCTGGGCAAAATATTATCATTGTTGTTCAAGTGAAAATATGTGCGCAATTTATCGAATCTGTTGCGGGACATGGTATCAGAAACCATAGTAAATGTAGTTTGTCTTGACCAAAACATTCTGTAACTTGGCATTTTTACAATGCTCATGTAAAAATGAATACCTATATACTGCTCCATTTCTGATATATTTGTATTAATACTAGATCCAGTTACTTGACATGAATAGTAATTGGTTTGTTCAACAAAATTTTGAAGTACATTGTCATCTACAAAAAACTTAAAATATTGAAGTGGAGATAGATTTTCTATAGGGGGGTCTGGTAATGAGGAAGTGCAAGTTGGGTATGATGTAGTCCAAGTGTTATTAGTCCAATTAGAGTCTCCTAAAGGAATATTACTCCAGTCATACTCGAGATCGTTATCGTTTTCATTTTCTTGTAAAAAGACTAGTTCTTGACGATCATGTGCATCTGGAAGGTGGGTTATTAGGAGGTTGTATTTCTTGAATATCCTCTATTTCCTCTGTCATTAATTCAAGTACTTCATCTAAATTATCTATATTAACTTCATACCCTTCATCCAGCTCCTCAATGTCTGACAAATCACCAACTAATAAAAAGTTTGCAATTTCATCGTCAGTTAATCGTTTGTGACACATGTTGATGAAAAACTGAAATTGAATACAAAAAAACTTTGTATAATAACGAAAAACATACATGATGCCAAACTAAATCAATGGGATTTTATGTATGTATAAAAAAAAAATTATAAATTACATATAAGCCCACTGATCTTATTTGGGATCATGATGTAATATCTAACACGTTTCGTTTCTAACGAATAATATCAAGGTTCCAATGCACAAATTATGTTAATCAATACACTTAGAATTCAAAAATATTTTTTTTAAAGCTCTAAAATAAGTAAAACTTACCGAACTTGATGTTCGAAAAATACGTTTTGATGAATCACATCGATCGATAGAAAATGATAACAATAACAACTATTATTGATAAAATATATCACGAGGCAACTTTAACAGTATGATCAATATAAGAAAATAACATTCCCTATCGAATGGCACAATCAAATATCATATTTGACACCTCGGTACTGTTGTGTGAAGGCTTTAAAAACATGATGACAAAATGAGTCACCAGCCCTCAAAGGGTTAAAACTTAATTTTTATTTACTTAATTAATAAGTTTTAATGCGATGGTTGATGTTGCATTTCAATTACTAGTTTTTGAACATCGGGCTCAATACTCGAAAGCTTTAATCGTAGTTCAAATTCTACGTTTTCTAATCGGTTTCGAAACTTATTCTTAATATAAACGAGGACGGAGAATGCTTTTTCACATAAATAAGTTGTGGGAAATGGAATCAAAACTTTCAGAGCTTTACTCGATAATTGTGGATAATCCTTTCGAACATGCAACCAAAAATGTTCCAATGACTTTTGATTGAACTGCATTTTTAAACTAGTATCTGTAGACATTTCTACAAGGCTATCTTCTTCCGATGATGTCAGTCCATTTATTTGATGAATATCAATTTCAAAAGGTTGTCGAATCCAATTTATATTTATATCTGGAACAGGAAAGTAATTACGGAAGCTACGTTGCATATCACCCATGTGTTGTATGAAATATTTAGAATCTTTATCTGACAATTCTTCTTCAGTTGATTCAATAAAATTTTTGAGATTTGGAAATGGATCGTAATTCTTCTTTGACAGCCGAAGACTCCACAGTTCCAACTTTTTAATCATCGCTTCAATCTTATCTTCAACTTTAAAAATTGTAATATGTGTTCCTTGAAGACTTAAATTAAGTGCATTCAAATGAGTAAATATATCCAAGAATAATCATTCACGCGTTCACTCAACGAAAATAATTTATGTTCGATAAAAAATAATCTTACCTCATCTTTCAATTCAAATAGACGAGACAGCACTTTACCTCGAGATAACCAACGAATTTCAGAATGCAACAGAAGTTGATAATGTTCACTATCCATGTCTTTGCAAAGTTGTTCAAAAATTCTTGAATTCAATGATTTTGCTTTTATAAAGTTCACAATTTTTACAGCATCGTCCAAAACTGTTTTCAAATGTATTGGTATTTTTTTGGAAACTATGGCTTCGCGATGAATGCAACAATGATGCCATGTGACTGATGGTATGATATTTCTAATCCGTGCAATTAATCCAGTAAATTTTCCTGACATTGCTCGAACACCATCTGTACTAACTCCTACACATTTAGTCCATTCAATTTCATTCGCTATAATAAATTCATTAATTTTACAAAATATTTCCTCTGCCGTGGTGTGTACCACAGTGGTTACGAATAAAATGTCTTCGGAAATGACATTATCGTATTCGTATCTTACATAACACAGTAATACTGATTTATTAGTTATATCGGTACTTTCATCAAGTTGGAGGCTAAAGTAGTCACTTTTATTAATTCTTTTCAACAACTGTTCTTTAATATTTCCTGATAAACGATCAATTCGTTTTTTTTATTGTATCATTTGACAATGCAATTTTATTTAAGCTATTTGCAGCTTCTTCGCCGATCATTGTAGAAACCATAGCTTTCGCAGCAGGTAATATCAAGTCCTCTGCGATCGTGTGAGGTTTCCCTGATTTCCCAATTAGTAAAGAAACTATGAACGATGCTTTTATGGCGCTTTCATTTGTACAATCAGTTGCAGTTTTTTTAATAAATTTCATATTTTTTCTCAATTCTTGCTCTTTATTTTTAAAAAAATCAATGGATTTCATGGCATGTTCTTTATGCTTAGTTTCGAGGTGTCTTTTTAGTTTTGATGGTTTTAAAGCCTCGTTTGATAATACCTCAAAACATACTACACATTGAGGTTTTGGTTTTTCTTCAGATCCGTTGGACGTGAAACCCATTGATAAATAATTACTATCATACTTACAAAGTTTTGTTGACTTTTCTTTACTCGTACACGGAGTTTTTTCATCATCAACGTCAGAATTCTTCCTTTTTAAATTTAACCAACGTTCCATTTAAACTAAAAAGGCTAATGTCTTTAAGATGATTTGAAAAAAAATCACGTATTAATTGAAATTATGTAGGTATAAAACTGATCAACTGCACTTATTGGTAGTAAATATACGACTGTCGAGTGTCGACTTCAATGCTGTATGCCTATAAAATTCGTATGAACAAGAAACTGATAAATAAATATTAATAATACAATTATTAGGTTTAGAATGTTTAGATACTTAATTGTATCGAATTCCACATTGTAATCGGTGTAATAAAGATAAGATAGGTTTACCTATCTCTTACAATATAAGATATATTTTATAATTTTATATGAAACAAAAATAATAATCGAAAAATATTGGAATAATACACTCATGTCACAAATTGACTTATGTTAGGTGGTAAAGTTGCCGCGGACCCCCGACATGAGTGTTGCGGACCCCCAGGGGGCCGCGGACCACAGGTTAAGAACCGCTGACCTAGAGGGAACCGCGTTAGCATTACTTCCTCTAGGCCCCATCGTTTATTAAAAAAAACTTTACAATTCAACAGTTTTAGGTGGTTCTGGGGACACACCCCCAGCACCAGCCTTTACAATTTCGTTACATTACACATTGTAGGGTTCTAACCTACCAGTTTGGCTTCGCCTACATAAGTTAAACTTAACTAGATTAGGTATTGCTTTTACGTCGCTGCTGCTTGTCGGGTCCTCTCAGCAGCGCATTTGTGTTCCATGGCCCGATGGATGTAGGCCGCGATCTGGTCCCATGTTTTCTTCCCCTTCAGCATCGTATCGATGAGATTTTGCGGCGTCAGCCCGTGCCCAATCTCCGCATACAGCTGTTGGCGCCAGTTCTCGTATGCGTCACATTCAAACAGTGTGTGTTTGGCGTCGTCTATCTCCGCATCACACATTGCACATTTCGGGGAGGCTGCTTTCTTTATTTTAAACAGGTAGGCGTTGAAGCATCCGTGGTTGGTGAGGGCTTGTGTTAGGAAGTAGTCGGTGTCACCATATCTCCTGTTGACCCATTTTCCCACGTCCCTGATCAGCGTGTATGTCCAGCGGCCCTTCAATGCGTTCTCCCAGTTCTGTTGCCACGTTGTCATTGTCTCCCTTCGCGCGTCTTGGAGTGCTTGGAATTTGTTGTTCGCGTTCTGTACTGCGGTACGCTCTTTCGCTAGTAGCGTGATCGGGGGCATGTTCGCTAGCAGCGTCACTGCCTCGTAAGATACAGTTCGGTATGCCCTCGTCACCCTTAGCGCCATTATCCTCTGTGCTGCCTTCATGTTTTGTGCTGTGTCCCCTTTTAACGGGACGACACTGTCTGGCCTGAGGCCCAATAGTGGCTCCCACACTGGCGCGGCGTATAGTAATTGGCTATGAACAACGCTCGCCAAGAGCTTTCTTTTAGCATTTGTTGACCCACCGATGTTGGGAAGAATCTTCGACAACGCTTGTGCAATTCTAGTTGCCTTCTGCCCGGTCACTTGTTCGTCCACTTTGAACCGTCTTCCTGAATCGATCTCTACCCCTAGGTATTTGAGCGAATCCTTGGTTATCACTTGATGTCCTCCGACCACGAATGTTGGTTTCCGGTAGCCCTTTTTCCGGGTTAACATGACGGCTTCCGTCTTGTGGGTGGCTAACCTTAGTTGGTGTTCGCTCATCCATTTGTACACCGCCCCGAGGGCTTCGTTAACTATGTCCTCGAGATGGTCGACCCTCCACGACCTTCCCACGATGGCTACGTCATCAGCAAAGCCCACCATTGTAACTCCTTCTGGCATCTTCTCGGTGAGCAGACCGTCATACATTATGTCCCATAGCAGGGGACCGAGCACAGATCCTTGTGGGACTCGCTGCCATGTTTACCGTGGTACCGAGTTGGGGTATTGGTTGGGT